CAACTGTAGACACCAGAGACAGTGTGGGAGGAGGCTGGGAAATGGCAGAGGGTGAGAAATAGGGGCAAAAAAAAATATGAAACTAGAAATGGAAAATTATTGACGATAACATGTATGATTAAGCCACTATGCAGTGTATTCTGGATGGGAAATCACATTTTGTATGCTGTGATGCTGCTCAGTGAATGAATGTAAATTGATTAATTTAAAATTTAAAACATTTCTAAAAAGAACTATTTTATTTAACTTTATTTAAGTATTCATTTATTTTAATTTGACCAGAAATGGGGAGAGAGAGAGAGAGAGAGAGAAAGAAAGAGAGAAAGCAAGCCACCAGGTTTGGGACTCAAACTGCGGTCAGCCATGTGGGAGTCCAGTGCCCTTAACTACCATGCCATCTGCTGGTTCCCCCCTTCAGACTTTTAACAGTGATCCTTTCTGGGAGATGGTTTTATTTCTAATTTTTAGTTTCCATACAGTTTATAAAGACATTTTTACCCTGATAATACAGCTCTGCAACTAGCGAAGCAGTTGAACTAACACCCATAAATATAGGTGGGGAGATAATATCTGCGAATGTTTTTTTTTACATAAACTATCCTTTTAATGTCATTTTTAAAAAACGATTGTGTGACCAGCAGTTAGCGTAATGGCTATGTCGTTGAACTCCCCCGTAGTCGACCGTGGTTTGAGTCCCGGACCTGGTGGCTTAAACTCACACCAGGTGCATGTGCATGTGTGCCCAAAATTCTGAGAGGAGAATGGAGGAGAAGGGATTGCAGCATGGCCATACCCCCTGGGGGGGTGATTTCTTGCTTTCTGTCTCTGTGTCTTTGTCTTTCTGGTGAGCGCCCGTGCCCTATAGCAAAAATCTCTCAAAATAAAAAATTGCAAATAGACTACATAATATAGGTGGGCAAAAAGACAATTAAGTGAATCTCTTGAACATTCAATGTATAATACACAGCATATTATCAACATTTCCATGATTCACATCAAAATGATGACATCCTAAAATGTATTTCTTCTAAAAGATAGTTTATCAGTAAAACATTACATATATTTTAATACTCTGGTATAATACTTCTTTATATACTGCAGAAAAATTAGATATAGGACTAGTTTTCCAGCTTAATAAAGGACCTTTTCTCATTAGCTTTTATTAATAAAAGAACCACAATTGGGACCAGCAGTTGGTGTAATGGCTATGTCCTTGGACTCCCATGTAGCCGACCTTGTTTCGAGTCCTGGACCCGGTGGCTTAAACTCATGCCAGGCATGTATGCTTGTGTGCCCAAGATCCCAAGAGGAGAATGGAGGAGAAGGGACTGTGGCTTGGCCATCCCCCCTGGGGTGTGATTTGTCGTTTTCTGTCTCTCTTTCTGGCAAGTGCATGTGCCCTATAGCAAAACAAAACAAAACACCTCTCCAAAAAAAAAAAAATTAAAAGAATCACAATTAAGTCATAAATAGGCAAATTATTAACTATATGATTTGAGGTTTAGGATGAAAACTTATTAAAATTAGTTTGATATACAGCAAAGTTATACAACACACTAAAACCAACTGTTTAACATTTTTGCTTTGTGTGAACTGCCCGTTGTGAGAAAAGAACAAACTTTTTAGTGATGGAAAATACAGGAGACTATCTTTTGGAACTTATTATTTGAAAGGAAGAGGGAGAAATATTTCAGCAGAGTTAAGGGCTAATACAGATACTAATAAAGGCATCTTGAAATCAGGGAGGCCATGTGCTTTGCTGTAGAAAACTTCACTCTCCCAACGACACACACAAAACAAAAACTGCACTGGGTTTGTATTTAGGCCTACAGTCTAGGCTTCCCGTATGGATTACTAATCTACAACAAAACACCACAACTGCAAAGCTTTCCACATTCCCTGAACTAGAAATACCCCAAGATGTTACAGTATGTTCTTAAAACCCCTAGTAAAAAATACCCCCAAAATAATCTTGACCATTTCTGGGCTGTTCTAAAGGATCTAGATGTTATAAAGAATACAGACAACAAGAAAATCCTACATCTATTTTTCTCAACCCCATGCAGCCACATTTGAAAGTCAACAATTTCAGTGGGAGAGAAAATCATATTTTATAAGGAGGGCCATACACTGGAAACAAGGTGCCCTTTTATTTAAAATAATAATAATGAAACTCTGAAATTCATTTTTTTTTCAACCCCAGTACCATGTGCTAGATAATTTGTTCACCCCAATATAAAATCCTGCATTTATAATTTAAAAATACCCAGGCAGGGGACCAGCAGTTAGCATAATGGCTATGTCACTGGACTCCCATGTAGTCGACCACGGTTCGAGTCCCAGACCTGGCGGCTTAAACTCACCCCAGGTGCGTGTGCTTGCGTGCCCAAGATCCCAAGAGGAGAATGGAAGAGAGGGGATTGTGGCATGGCCATCCCCCCTGGTGGGTGATTTCTCGCTTTCTGTCTCTCTGTCTTTCTGGCGAGTGCATGCGCCCTATAGCAAAAATCCCCCCCACCCCCCAAAAAAGAATACCCAGGCAGTTATGGGATGCTGTGCATATTTAACGTCTACCAGCAATCCAGAGCTTACATGCATCTATCTCTTTCTCTGGTAATTTGATTCATTCACCTGTTACTGACTTCTCTGGCTCTCAGACTATGACTTCCTCAGAAACCACCTCTTTGGAACATTCATTTCCACTTTTGAAACTCTCTCCTTGAGCTTCCCCCATCTCTCCAGCCCCTCTGCCTGATTCCAGCCCTTGAACAATAACCTCATCTGAGAACTTGCAATCACTTTTACCAAACATACAACAAATCTTCCCAACCTGGTATTATTTTAAACCTACTCTCCGCTTTTGTTTTTGTTTTTGTATAACAACATGATAGTTTGCTAACTTTGTGGAGAGGAATATGAATGAGATCAATGTCTTTATCTCAAACAGATAAAGCAGCCAAGATCAGGTATTACTGTTCCAAGTGCAAAAACAACTGATCTTCTGCTACAGAAGGAGACATGAATGCAGTAGATATTTGTACAATCAAACCCCTGTATGCAGGTGAAATACTTGACCCGGGACCAGCAGTTGGCATAATGGCTATGTCACTGGACTCCCATGTCGTCGACCGTGATTGGAGTGCCTGACCCGGTGGCTTAAACTCAGGCCAGGTGCATGTGCGTGCGTACCCAAGACCCTGAGAGGAGAATGGAGGAGAAGGGATTGTGGTGTGGCCATCCCCCTTGGGGGGTGATTTCTCACTTTCTGTCTCTCTGTTTCTCTCTGTCTTTCTGGTGAGCGCACGCGCCCTATAACAAAAACCTCTCCAAAAGAAAAAAAAATGAAATACTTGGCCCTCAGAGTCTAGAGTTAACACATTACTGCAAAATCAAAGCAAAGTGGAGAAAGATTCGATGAAAAATACAGAACGCTTCATGAATTTGTGTGTCAACCTTATGCAGGGGCCATGCTACTCTTCTCTATATTTTTCCAATTTTAGTATATGTACTGCCAAAGTGAGCACCCGAGTTTGAATTTTTTAAAAAAGTTTAGTCATTTATTTCTTCTATGAGTGAGAAATGGCACCCCCAACAGGGTCTCCATACTGCCATCCACCCCCAGCCTTAGCCAGTTCTGGATCATGGGTGTGTATGCCAAGAATACTCAGGGAAGTCTCTGGACACACAAGCAGAAGTTCCCACATAAGTCAGCCTTGCAGAGCATCGCCATTTTACTGTTACATCACTGTCTGGCCTGTGAAGTTTTAATTTTTTTAAGTAATTATTTATTTTATTTATTTAGTATTATTATTTTATTTAATTTGGCCAGAGAAAGACAAAGAGAGAGGGAAACTGAGAAAGAAAGCATCAAGGTCTAGGACTTGAACTATGGTCAACCATATGGGAATCCAGCACCTTAACCAGTATACCACCTGCCAGCCTCTTGGTCTATGAAGTTTTATATACTAGGGATTAGGGAGTCGTAGTTTTTGAGCTTTAAGTGGATTTATCTGTAAATCTAGGAGGGATGGACTGCAGAGACACCAAGCAGGGATCCTACTTGGGATACTGTTTGAATATTTCTGGCAAGAAAGTAAAAATAGGGGACCAGCAGTTAGCATAATGGCTATGTCGCTGGACTCTCATGTAGTTGACCGCGGTTCAAGTCCCGGACCCCCCTCAACACCAGGCGCATGTGTGTGCTTACCCAAGATCCCAAGAAGAGAATGGGGGAGAAGGGATTGCAGCATGGCCATCCCCGGGGGGTGATTTCTTACTTTCTGTCTCTCTGTCTCTCTCTGTCTTTCTGGTGAGTGCACACACTCTATAGCAAAAAGCTCTCTAAAAAATAAAAATAAATAAAAGAAAGTAAAAATGGCAGTGACTGGGGGTGGCAGTGATGGGAAAGGATTGGCAAGCAACGAGGAAAAACTCACAGAAGGGCTGGAAATGGGAGCTGGCTGTCTGGGGGATAAATGCCACGTGGTGCCACTACCTCCTTACCATCCCTGAGCATGCGCAGCACGCATCCTCCCCAGGTCTCTGACCTAGCCACTCCCTCCACCTGGAATACTTTCTTAGCAATCTGTGAGGCTCACTCCTTACCACCTTCACATCTTTACTCTCCCTCACTGATAACCCTATTTAAAACTGCAGACAGTCCCTCCTAGCTCTCCATTTCCCTCCTCCCTGCTTAACTTTCTCCCATGGCCCTTGACATCAGTGGACATGCTATACATTTTATTTTATCGGTTTGTCTGACTTCCCTCACCTGCAATGCCAGGTCTATGAGGGCAGAGATTCATATCTGTTATATCTATTTCCCCACCATCTGGAAAAGTTTCTAAAAGATAATACCCTGGTGGTGGTGGGCAAGCTTCTGGAAGGGTAGCTGGAAAGAAACATGCCGAGCCTTCTCCTTGCCTCAGAAATAAGTAAATTTGGGGGAAGAGTGTGACCAGCAGAAAACCCTGTTTCTCATGGTTTTCTCTCAGAAAAGGGAATCTGGAAATTCCCAGACCCCTCTTATTGTGGTTTTCCCCAACTGTCAGTACATAGGCACACACATACGCACTGGGAAAGGCCTGGATCCTTAGCCTATGCGATCCTGTGCTTTACTGAGATCGTGCGTGATTGATGAGAGCTGAGGCCTTACCACTCAATGGCTCTGTCTCGGCTGGCATCATCGTTGCAGTCCGAATCCAAGAAGATGTCCTTGTAGATCCTCCCACACAGGCAGAACATGTCAGGGGCTGGGTGGTCACAGTTCTGCAGAACCTGGAGCATGACCTGGAGAGCCTTCTCTCGGTCACCTTCACTGTTTCTTCTGAACAAGATATAAGATCACACATGTATGAATCAAGACAGGAGTGTATATGTACTCATTCTGCTGAAAGACTGGGTGCAAAGGCATAGGCTTAGCAGGAAAAATATTCTAAATAACATTTCATCTTTTTCTAATGCAGTAATTGCATAAGATCCATACCTGTAAATCTCAATTATACTCAGTCCCTACTTGATCCTACCTTCAACAAGTAAATGAAGAGAAAGAAAAAACAAGAGAAGAAATCTAAATAATAATAGCTACTTAAGAGTCATATCAACTAAATTCAATGTATAGACTTTGGATTATGATTTAAACAAACACACTATAAAAATATGAGACAACTGGGGAAACCAGCAGTTAGCGTAATGGCTATGTTGCTGGACTCCCACGTAGTTGACCGTGGTTCGTGTCCCGGACCCGGTGGCTTAAAACTCACGCCGGGCACATGTGCATGTGTACCCAAGATCCCGAGAGGAGAATGGAGAAGGGATTGCGGCGTGACCATCCCCCTGGGGGATGATTTCTTGCTTTCTGTCTCTATGTCTCTCTCTGTCTGTCTGGCGAGTGCACGCGCCCTATAGTGAAAACCTCTCCAAAAAAAAAAAATATGAGACAACTGGGAAAATTTGGATGCTGAGATGGAGGAATTATTATTTTTAAGTATGATAATATAATCATGATGTTTTATAAAAAATTCTCAACTTTTAAAGACATATACTGAAGTATCTATGGAAAAAATGGTCTATCTTAGCCTTATAATAAATCCAGCATTGAAGTTTGAAGGAGTGGGTGGGGGTAAAGGGGAAAAAATCTGGCCATGCTACGATAATTACAGAAGTAAATAAAGGGTACATGGGGTTTCATTATTGTGATGGTTAATTTAATGTGTCAACTTGACTGGGCTAGTGGATGCCCAGATAGCTGGTAAAACGTTATTTATGACTGTTTCTCTGAGGGCGTTTCCAGATGAGATTACCATTTGAATCAGTAGACTGAGTAGAAAAGACCCACCGTCATTAATGTAGTTGGGGATTATCCAATTGCTGAGAGTCTGAACAGAACAAAAAGGCCAAGGAAGAGTGAGCTTTCTCTTTCTCTTTTTGAGCTGGGACAGCCATCTTTTGCCTGCCCTTGGACATCAGAGCCTCTGGTTGTTGGACCTTCAGATTCCAGGACTTACACCAGCAGTATCCCTGGTTCTCAGGCCTTTGTCTTCAGACTGGAAGTCACACCTCAGCTCCCCTGGTTCTCAGGCTTCTGGATTCTGACTGAATTATACCATCAGCTTCCCTGGTCCTCTAGCTTGCAGACAGCATATCATGGGACCTCTCAGCCTATGCAATCACATGAATTGATTCTCACATATCTCTATATATCCTATTGGTTAATTTCTCTGGAGAACCCTGAATAATAATATTATCTTATTCCTACTATTGAAATTTATTACATATATATATTTTTAAGAGAGATTTTTACTATAGGGCACATGTGCTCGCCAGAGACAGAGGAACAGAAAGCAAGAATCACCTCCCAGGGGGAATAGCCATGCCATAGTCCCCTTCTCCATTCTCCTCTAGAGATTTCTGGGCAGGCATGCACATACACTCTCCCAGTGTGAGTTTCAAGCCTCTGGATCTGGGACTCAAATCACAGTCGGCCATGTGGGAGTCCAGTGATGACGGAAAACCATTATGCCATCTGTTGGTCCCTATATATTTCAAACATAAAAAAATTTACATAATAAAAACTAAAAATGTATTGGCCAGTTGTGGTTTGGTGGTAAAGGCGCTGGATCCCTCATGGCCAACCACACGGTTCAAGTCCTGGACCTGGAAGCTTGAGAAACATGCTGGGCGCATGTACATGTGTACCCCAGATCCCAACAGAACAGAAGAATATTAGAGACGGGTCTGCAGCATGTCCATGCCCCACGGTGGGTGCTATTTGCTCCCCCTGTCTCTGTCCCTTTCCAGTGAGCACATGCATACTCTAGAAAAAATTTAAAGAAAAACTAAAAATATAAGATACTCATTCTGCCTCAACAATTCTACTTCTAGAACCTATAATACAGAAATACTTTACAAGAAATTTTAAAACAGAAATGTTTGTCATGGCATTGCTGCTTATAATGGGGAGGACTTGGAGATGATTCAAATGTCCATGAGCAGAAGAATGGTGAATCTATTTTGTAATAACCAAATCGATCCATATGTAATTTTATAAAGGAAAATGCGTGACATTTTATGGGAAAGAGCTTGTTGAACTAAATGAAAAACATGATCCCGTTCTTCAAAATAAGCACTGTTTACATATATGTTTATGTACACAGATGCAAGTCTGGAAGGATACACGTTAAACTGTTTAGGAAACCACTGCTGGGACTTACGCAGGAGCCCTGTGTACATTTTGCTAATAACTGGGCCCACTCCATGGTGTAACAGTAACAAACTGTTCAAGAGAAGCCAGATCCCACATGGCAATCGGGGTTTGAGTTCTGACCCTGCCAGCCTGAAACACACCAGGCACATGAGTGTCCAAGATCCAACAGAGATAGAACACTGGAGGAAAGCAAGCATGGCATGGCAGGTCCTGGGGAGGGTGTGTATCTCTTACACACACACACACACACACACACACTCATTTGCATGCAAATGCACATGCTTTATAAGAAATAAAGACAAAAGATACTTAAAATATCTACTCTAATAAATGAATAAAGAGAATACTTTTTTTTTTGTTTCATTTAAAATTTTTTTTTTATTCTTATCATTGTTTTTTGAGAGGTTTTCACTATAGGGTGCGTTTACTCGCCAGACAGACAGAGAGAGACATAGAGACAGAAAGCGAGAAATCACCCCCCAGGGGGGATGGTCACGCCGCAATCCCTTCTCCTCCATTCTCCTCTCGGGATGTTGGGCACGCATGCACACGCGCCCAGCGTGAGTTTAAGCCACCAGGTCCGGGACGCGAACCACGGTCGACTACGTGGGAGTCCAGCGACATAGCCATTACACTAACTGCTGGTTCCCTTATCATTTTTTTAAACGTTCAATTGCTATATCTCATTTGGCTAAGAGACTACTTTTTAAAAGATTATTCTTTTTAATTTCTTGGTAATTTTTTTTTTTTTTTTGGGTCTGGAGAGTTTTTTGCTATAGGGTGTGTGTGCTCACCAGAAAGAGAGAGAAAGAGAGACAGAAAGCAAGAAATCACCCCCTGGGAGGATGGCCACACGGCAATCCCTTCTCTTCCATTCTCCTCTTGGGATCTTGGGCACACACGCACACGTGCCCGGCGTGAGTTTAAACCACTGGGTCCTGGACTCGAACTGTGGTCAGCTACATGGGAGTTCAGCGACATAGCTATTACTCCAACCACTGGTCTCAATTTCTTGATAATTTTACAATAGGCTCTTTTATACTTTCTTTTCTGAGAACAGGTACCTGAAAAATGACTGAAGATCACTACCTAAAACTGTCTTTCTCAACAGGCATTCCATGACAGAATTAAGCCCTAGAGAAAATTATTTTGTTATCTGAGTGACTTTTCTGAATCCTTCAAGAGATGGTACATGGTTAGCCCCATTCTGGATGCATGAGAGTTCATTCGCTTCACATATTGGATGCTATCAGTCATTAGGACTTAATTTTCCTAGGGAATCTAATCTGAAAATGACTAATCTAGACAGTGGGCGCCTTTCTGGAAGCATGTATTAATTAAGCCTGCATTTTGACTCTGGCTTTTACCATTGTCTACCTTATTCTCATATATTTGACCTTTCCTCTCTTTGTCATATACAATCCAACGTAACCAGCCTACAAGCCAGTCTCTTACTGCACAACCTACTCACGATAACCTTACATAGTTTTTAATAGAGATTTTTGCTGTAGGGCACATGGACTTGCTGCAGAGACAGAGAGAGAAAGAAAGAAAGTGAGGGGTAGACCCTAGGAATCTGAAGCTGTTGGCTCTGGGAACACTGGCAGCTCAAGATGAAGACCATTTGCAGGCATCAGACTGCTGACAATGTCGACATCACTCTGAAGGGACACACACACAGTTATTGTGAAGGGCCCCAGAGGAACCCTGCAGAGGGACTTCAATCACATCAATGTAGAGCCCAGCCTCCTTAGAAAGAAAAAGAAGATGCTGCAGGTTGACAAATGGTGGGGAAACAGAAAGGAACAGGCTATATAGTTCGTACTATCTGTAGTCAGTACAGAACATGATCCAGGGTGGTCCATTGGGCTTCTGTTACAAGATGAGGTCTGTGTTATTCTTGCTATTCAGAAGAATGGGTTTCTTGCTGAAATCTGAAGTTTCTCGGGGAAAAATATATCCAGACAGTTTGGTGCAACCAGGTGTTACTTGTTCAGTATCTCAAGCCAAGAAACATGAGTTGATCCTTGAAGGCAATGATATTGAACTTGTTTCAAACTTAGCTTATTTAATACAGCAAGCCATGATAGTTAAAAATAGGATATAAAGAAATTCTTGGATGGAATCTACTACATCTCTGGAAAGGGAACAATTCAGCAGGCTGATGAGTAAGATTTAAGAATTCTCCAGCTACAGGAACAAGCTGGACAATTTCTAAAGCTATTATATGATATTTTAAAGATAATAATAAAAGACAACCCTTGATTTGAAACTTTTTCGTAAACTGATTATCCTTTTCCAATTACTTGGCCAGTAAGCAATTCAGGAGTAAACTAATGTGCTAAGAACAATACAGAAATTATAGAATTCCTGATCAGAACATTTTTGTCTAGTTGTTTTTCTTTTTTTTAAAAGAATTATTTAATTATTATTTTTACAAAATTTGCTATAGGGCACTTGCACTCACCAGAGAGAGACACAGACACACAGAGAGGGAGAGAAAGTGAGAAAGCAACCGCCTGGTCCAGGGGTTTAAACTGGGGTCAGCCATGTGGGAGTCCAGCACCTCAACCACCACGCCACCTGCTGGCCCTGCCTAGCCGTTTTTCTTTGCAGGAACA